CCACACCTGTGCATAAGTCTATGTCTGGGGCTGTTGCTGTCACCGAGATTCTGTGCATGGGGAAAGCCCTGGACTCCCTCATTATGTCTTGCAGTTGAAAAATACAGAGTATTTACAGATCAAAGTACATATTATTTAATTATGCATAATTTTGCTCTCATCTCATTTACCTCATAGGGCATTGTTTTGATTTTATTTGAAATAAGATATGAAGACAGACCTACATTCCTAATGAACATAATTTCAGGAGAGTAAAGGGCACTGTGAATATTTGCTATCCCAAGGGGATGCTGGGTGGAACTGGATGGAGAACTCGACTGCAATGCGTCCCTACCACAGCATCATAATGCACCAAAAAGCAGAGGAAAGGGTGTCAAGCTCTCCCACTGGATCTTCACATATAAGCATCTGAGGTGTGTGTGTGTCTGTGTCTGTGTGTGCATCTGTGTGTCCATCCTTTATATTTTTTCATACAAAGTAAACACATGCCTTGTTCATATAAATGAAATAGATGAATGCCATGCGGTGAAACAGAGCCACCCCCGCTCCCCACAACAGCTCCTGGAGGCATGCCTTCAAGGCGTTTAACAGTTCTCAATGGGGTCAGTAACTGCACCTCCAGAGGGTGTTTTGAAAATTTGTGGAGGCTTCTGCCTGCCTGAGGGTGTTACTTAGAATTTACTTAAAAGTATGTCTTAGACACTTATTTACATCAGTACAGATAATTCTATTTAATTCCTTTTAGTGGCTGCATAGTATTTTACTGTGCGAAAAAGACATAATTTATTTAACCAGCTCCTATTGATAGATGTTGCATTGTTTGTATTTATTTACCATTATCAATAATTGTTAGTATTATATATATATAATTGTGCATCTATGTGAATATATCTGTGAGATAAATTTCTAAAAGTGCATATAAAAGTTCTGAGTCCAGCAAGTAAACATATGCATTTAAAATTTTGATAAATCCCATTCCAGTACATATATCTCTAAAAAAAGTGATAGATATTGCCAAGTTTCCCTCCAAAAGAGACTGCATCAATGTATGTTCTTATAACAGTGTGCGAAAAGATACATTTCATCTCCAACACTGAACTTTAATCTTTGTTAAGATAATGTTTTTAAGTGCCTCATGATTGTTATTACAGTTTTAAAATTATGATTCAGGTGAACATGTTCTCATATACTGTTGGGCATTTGCATTTTTTGCCAATGAAAAGATGTTCAGGTTGGACAAAACTTTAAAAAAAATCAGTAGGAAAAATTAGGCAAAGGATTTTTTTTTCTTATTCATTTTTAAAAGCTCTTTGTATATTGAGAAAATTCGCTTTTTGTCATCCTTGTTCTATACTTATTCTTTCATTTTGTTCTTTGTCTTTTGGATGTCCTTCCATATACATACAAAAGATTTGAATTTTTAATACTTAAATTTATTTTTTTGTCTTTTGTATTTGAAATATAGTTTAAAAGATTTTTCCCACTCTAAAATTACAAAAATTTTCCAGACCAGGCACAGTTGCTTAATTCTGTAATCCCAGCACTTTGGGAGGTCAAGGCGAGAGGATCATTTGAGCCCAAGAGTTGAAAACCAGACTGGGCAACATAGGGAGACCCTGTCTCTACAAAAATAAAAAAAAAAATTAGCATGCCTGTGGTCCTAGTTGCTTGGGAGGCTAAGGTGGGAGGATCACTAGGCCCAGGAGGTTGAGGCTGCAGTGAGCCATGATTGCACTGTTGCATTCCTGCCCGGACAAGAGTGAGATTGTCAAAAAAAAAAAAAAAAAAAACCCTTGAATTTTCTTTTTGGTTTTATTATGACTTCATTTTTTATATTGTTTTCAACCTGAATTTTATTTTAATATTGTGAGGTAGTTACCCAACAGGCCCAATTGTCTCAACACCATAAATTGAATGATTTATCTTTTTTCTACTGATTTCAAATGCTGCATTTGTGTATGCCCATGTATAATTGGATCTATTTCTTAATTCTCTATGCTGCTCCCTTTGTCTGTTTACTTCAGTTTCAGTAACAGACAGTTTTAGTTATTGTAGCTTTATTGGATATTTTTAAATATGCTAAGACTTACTCATTTCTCTATGTTAAAATTTTTCTAGCTATCACTGAGTGTTAATTTATGTATTATTTAGTATCATTTTGATAAAGTCAAAAGAAATCTGTTGGTATTGTGATAGGAATTATTTTGAATTAATAGATTACTTAGGAGGAGTTGGTATTTTATAATATTTAGTCTTTTATCCAAGAATAAACTAGATCTCTCTGTTTATTTTATTATGATCCTTAGGGGAATTCTGAAGTTAGGCTTATTCAGAGGTATTCAAGGGAGGGAGAGAAAGAGAGAGAGAGAAAAGAGAGAGAGAGAAAGAAGTTAGTTTTATTCATATATATACATATATATGTATACCTCTCTCTATATATGTGTATATATATATATATACATCTACAGAGAGAGAGAATACCTAGGAATAAACCTAACTTTAAACTCCCCTAAGCATCATAATAAAATAAACACAGAGATGTAGTTTATTCCTGGATAAAAGACTAAATAATATAAAATGCCAACCCAACTCCTCCTAAGTAATCTATTAATTCAAAATAATTCTATCAGACGGGGGAGAGAGAGAGAGAGAGAGACAGAGAGAGAGAGTTCTTCTCTTTTATTTATTTATTTATTTGTTTGAGACAGAGTCTCAATGCATCACCTAGGCTGGAATGCAGTGGCGTGATCTCAGCTCATCACAACATCCACTTCCCAGGTTCAAGCGATTCTTGTGCCTCAGCCTCCAGAATAGCTAGGACTACAGGCCTGTACCACCACACCCAGCTAATTTTTATATTTTTTGTAGGGACGGTGTTTTGCCATGTTGGTCAGGCTGATCTTGAACTCCTGACCTCAAGCGATCCACCTGCCTCAGTCTCCCAGAGTGCTGGAATTATAGGCATAAGCCACCGCACCAGGCTCTTTTATTATGTTTTCTAGCTAACTATTGTCTATTTAATTGTTTGCTTATAAGAAAGCTAATTATTATATTGATAATTCGAATATTTCTAATATATTTTAGTCAAGCATAATTTTGACTTTGGCCTGGATGTTTACATTTTTTTTGCTCTGTAATGAGATTTTAAAATAAATAAATCAAAGTATAACAGGTCATTGGTCAAGGGTTTACTTTAAAACCCAATCCATGCCCAGGCTTGCTGTCTGGGCCTACCCAAGAAGCCTTCTCCTGCAGACCCGAGGTTAGCTAAGCCACTGAGCTGGTGCAGCACCAATCTTCTAGATCAGTTTCACTCGCGTTCCTTGCCAGACTTGTAAGATACATGAGGAAGCAACTGAGTGGGGCCCATGGGGACCTGTCTTCAGGGGGCAGCAGCTACTGCTACTGAACCCCAATTCCCATGACCACATGGGAATATGACCCAGTATGGCCAGATTTTCCAGATTTACAAGGGAATACTGAAATCCAGAGTTTTATTTTCTAAATGTTGACTTAAATTTTTAAAAAGCTCTTTCTAGACCCAACTAAACATGTCTATGGGCTAGATTGGCCCTTTGGCCAGCTGGTCACCACTTGACCACTTCTGTAGACAAGATATTCAGAAAGGCAACCACAGCCTCAATTCTTACAGGATTATCTTCCACCTAAAGAGGCACGTGCATACACCATAGGATGCCCAAGTTCTTGCCCCATCTCAGGTCAAAGTCACTCTTGCCACCTGACTGGTCCTCACATAGTGCTCAGAGCCACAAATAAGACCCTGCTGCTTCCACCTGAGCCCCAGTGCTGACCCGTCAGCCCAGGTCTCAGAGCTGGGCCCTCCCTGCTTTGCTGCTTTGGCCTAAGTGACCCCATCCACTGTTCTAACCCGAGTCTAACCCAGCTTCCCAGAAGCACCCACAGTCCACCTGCTTGTCTATGAGTCCCATGTCACTGTTACTATTCACTGTGCCCTGCCTACCAGCCCAGGTGTTCTGCTACCTCAGACTGGACCCACGGCTCTGGCCCAAGTGTGGCCCGCCAGCCCCCTGTCTATTTGTGCAGTATCCAAAAGCACAGCCAAGAGCTGGCAGCTGAATCTGTCTGTATGGAGTCGGCTCCACATTATCCCAGCACAGCTGGGCCAGGGGTCTGCCCATCCCAGCCCACACATCCAGCCCTTCTGCAGCAGCAAGCCAGCAAGCCCCATGGTGACCTGTCACAGGGAGAGGGTTCTGAGAGGATCCTAACAGCTACACATATTGGGCGCTTATCGTGTGCCAGACAAGAGTCCAAGCACCTTCCACGTAGGAACCCAATTCATTCTCACAGCAGCCCCCGGGCTAGGTGCCAGCACTAGTCCCACTGTGCAGCTTAAAGCCACAGCCCAGACGCATACATGATTCACCCAAGACTGCACAGCTAGGAAATGGCACAATCCCACTCAACAGTGTGTCTCCAGGACCCACACGCCTCATCTCTACACAGACAGCTAAGGAGTCTGGCCCTGGGCCTTCCAGAGGGCAGCTACTTTGCATCTGCGAAGCACCTTCCAGCCTAAGCCGCCTGCCCTGCTTGACTCAGCCTCTGCCTGGAAATCTGAGATGCCAACAATGATCTGCAAGGAATCCCATTCCTCCTTGAAGCTGGGGCCCAGCAGGGCAGCCTTTCTCATGAAAGCAATAAACCCCAGCTCTCTGAACACTCGGCCCCACCCACGGAGGCCCCTCTGGCAGGAGCTTTCCTGCCCTCCCAGCCCCCTCCAGCCCACAGTCCATCTAGCATTTGTTCTCCCCGGCTTTGTTGGAACCATATCCAGCCATGTCTCAACACAGCTGCAACCCTGGCCCCAGCACCCGACCTGTTCCCAGACCTCATACCCTTGTTAAAACAAAAATGGCCAATCACATTCAAACGCACCAAGAAGCCACTCTTCCCACCACACACTCCTCTATCTCTCTTCCTTCCCCCCTCATCCCCCACTCCCCAGGTGCCCTCACCTGTCACAATGGGGTAGGACTGTGGGCCTGGCACGCTGCTCCCGATGTCCGCAGGGGTGGGGCTGGCCAGGTTGGCCTTCATGTCATCCAGCCCACCAGCCAGCGAGGCCATGGCTGAATACTCTGTGGTCTGAAAGAAGAAACAGAGACATCTCAGCACCAAGACTCCGCAGTTCCCTAGTCAAATGCCAACTCCATGTTCTGAGCTCAGCCACCAAGCCGGGTTAATCCATGCCTGTGCCAAGGCCCAGAGGGGACTCATGAATGCCCCCAGTGTTGAAAGGGCAGAGTCAGCTTGGTGGAACGAGACAGTTGTTCAGAGTCAGCAATTCTTCCCAGGAGATGAGGTAGGCAGGACTCAGTGCAACTTCACAGGAATCCGGACTTAGCTCCCTCCAGCCTGCAGGCTGCCCTCGCCCAGCTCCAGTCAGCCAGAGACCGCAGGCTCCTCCATGCAGGGATGGAGGGTCAGTAACCAAAGGCAAGGCAGAAATAAGTGTCTTCTTGCCGAGATAATGGAAAGAATGGTTTCTGATATCTGTGCTCTTAAACCACAAAAGTAGAATCACAGAAACAAGGGTTACCAGGAACCTGGGAGATCATCCAGCCCAAATCCTCATTTCACAGGTGAATAAACTGAGGCTCGAGAGAGGAGGGCTTTACCCACTGTCAACAGGGCAGAATACCAGTTGGGGTGGGTCACCATGAATTCCCATCTTAATCCAATATGTCAAACCAACTGAACGACCATTTGGCAAGTGTTTGTGAATTCTGGCAGCAGGTAAACACCTGTATGCTGAAAACCACGGAGTGCACACATCTGCTTTAGCAAGTGCACGCCAACCATGTGCATCTGGCCCATGAGTAACGCTGCTTTCTTTAAGCCATTTCACGAAATCAGAGTTTGCAATGAGTTATTTCCTTGCCATCCAAGCCATTGTTAGAATGTTCTCCAGAGAAGGCAGTAAAGGTGCCAACCTGGATCGTCCAACTCAAGAATAGACTAAATCATAAGCATGAGTGACAAGTCTCTTCTTCCCTCCCAACCCCAGGGCCTGTTTTCGGGTAAAGAAAATATATGCGGCTGGGCGCAGTGGCTCACACCTGTAATCCCAGCACTTTCGGAGGCCAGAAGCGATGCATTGCTTGAGCCCAGGGATTCAAGATCACCTTGGGAAATATGGTGAAACCCTGTCTCTACAAAAAATACAAAAATTAGACAGGTGTGGTGGCATTTACCTGTAGTCCCAGCTACTCGGGAGACTGAGGTGGGAAGACTGACTGAGCCCAGGAGATCAAGGCTGCAATGAGCCATGATCATGCCACCGTACTCCAGCCTGGGTGACAGAGCAAGACTGTCAAAAAAAAAGAAGAAAAAGAAGGAAGGGAGGAAGGCAGGAAGGCAGGCAGGAAGGAAGGAAGAGAGGGAGGGAGGGAGGGAGGGAGGGAGGGAGGGAGGGAGGGAGGGAATTTGCAAACACTTAAGCCAACAAATTTGTGCATGTGAAGATTTGGTACGGGGAGTTTCCTCCAGGACCCTGGCATTGCTGATGGAGGACACACCCCTGTTGGTCCAGGTTTATGTCCTTGTCAGCCAGGGACACAGAAGCAAGCAGTCTTCTGGAAGGAGCTGTAGGCACCCTGAGTAAGCTGGGAGGGAAACCAAAGGAGCCACTGGGCAAGCGGCAGGCAGGAGGGGCTCAGACTCAAGCACAGTTCTGGTGTCTTTCCCTTCAAATCAGAGAGTACTTCCTGGGCAGCTAAGGTACCAACTGGGGCTGACAGTAGCAGTGAGTCCAGGAGGTGCTGCAGTCCCAGGCGTTAGATGACTCATGCTGAGGACAGCTTGTCCAGAGTTCCCCAGGGCTCTTCGGCCCTCATCCATCAAAAGCTGGTTCTGAAACATGTGGAGAAGAGCACTGGCCCAAAGCAAGCCCAGGTCTTTCTAAGGGAAAAGAACAAGGCTGGGGGACAGGCTTACCAGGCATCAGGAATCACTATAGAGCTACAGTAATTAAGACAGGGTGGTATTGGCACAGGGGTAGATAAATAGACCAATGAAGCAGAATCCAGTCAGACCCTGATCCATGCACATATGGAACTGTGATATATGAAGGAGGTGGTGTACAAATCAGCAGGAAAGGATAGACTCTTTAATAAACAGGGCAGGGGTAACTGGTTATTCATTCAGAAACGGGGGGGAAAAAAAAGAAATTGGATCTTTACATGAGACACAAAAATCAATTCCAGGTGGATTAGAGACCTAAATGTGGAGGGCAAAGGCATCTAATGTGGTCAGCAAGGACCCAGCCAAAAATCCTTGGGAACAAATCTGCCCTTCATGGAAGGAGGAGTGCCTTTTCTGGCCTGGGATTCTCACACAGGGTTCCTGCTCACTGTGGGATTAGTAGAGAGACCCAGTCATCCTGCTGCCCTGTCTCAGTACCTCCTCCTCCAGGAAGTCTTTCCTGACCACCATTCCCCAGGAAGTGTGAGTCCCATGCTCATTCTGCTGGCCCTGTCAAGTGGTGCCAGGGCAGTATCAACCAGAGTCTTCACAATTGCCTCAAACTCTCACACTCACTGAGCATTCATTCTGTACCAGGAGCTTCTGCTGTACTATCCCATTTAAACCCCTTGAAGCAGGCTCTATGACATGCCCAGTTTAAAAACGAAGAAACTCAGGCATCTGTGATAGAGTGGGAATGACTTGCCTAAGTTCATACAGCTTCTAGGTGCCCACACCAGGATTCAAACCTGGGTCCCTCTGACTCCAAAACCTGGACAATGACCCTAATGGTTTTTATACTGTGAGAACCTGATCCATTAAAACACAGTGAAATCAACTTGCTGGTCCCAACATTTTTATAAAAGGAATTGAACAAAAAATACCCACGGGCGTCCCACATAGAAAGGCTAAGTCCTGTTCTGTGAATCTTTGTTTCCAATGTCAGTGGGCATGTGTGTACAAGGTAGAGATTCAGATATATTTCTTGCTATAGGTCACAGCCAGCAAAGTTTGGAAAATACAGCCTTCGGTCCATGCAGGAGGAGCTATTGGAAAAAGGTCGCTGTCTAGACTTCCTCTTCTGTAGAACGAGACTTGGTCGTGCCATTAGCCTCCTAATATTCTGAGAATGAATTGGGCATGAATTTGGAATTCCAAACGCAAATCCTTCAGTTGACTGCTGTGTGCAAAGACAGCAGGTCAAAATGCTTCCGACAAGGGTCTTTTCCTAGATGGCATCTTCTAGAGTTTCTGGGCCCCTAGGGGTAGGTCCCAATTCCTCCCTCCTCTCTGCATTCCCGAATGCCCTAGTGAAGGCCTCAGCAGAGTGGGCATGCATTCATTCAACCTTTATTGAGCCCTGTTGGGTGCAATATAATGTGTGAAGACCAGACACACTCTGACCCTTACCCACAAACCCCAAGAGAAGACACATTGGCCCAGAAATTCCATCCAAGAGGGACAGAAGCACAGAGTCATTAATGTCTATGGGGTGTGAAGCAGTCAGGAAAGGTTTCTTGACGCAGGCTGTATTGAACCCGGGACTGAACAATCCCTAACTCCCAAGGCTGAGAACAGCCGAAGGCAGGCTCAGGGGTAATAGGACAGGAGTGACCCAGAAACAGGGCACTGTGAGGGGGTGCAAGTGTAAAGGGGAAAGATGGAAGAGTAGAGTAGCTGGACCTCAATTGTGAAGGGCTTGCACAATGAACACTGGGTGAACCGATGGAGGAGTGTTCTTCCTAGGGCCAGGCAGGATCCCAGCTAAGAGTCAGCATCCCTGCGCCCCTTCCAGCCACCCTGGGGCCTGTGCTGTTCCTAGACCTCAACCTCTCCTCTCTGACATGGGCTGGGCTACAGGGTCTGCAAGGGAAAGCCTTTATTTCCCCCAAGAAAGCAGAGCCAACCTGGGTTTAAGAGAACTGCAGAAAGGGTGGCCAACAGGATATATCCTACCTCTTAACATATTTAATTTCCAGATGGAAGAGGAGTGTTTTGCTATTTGATTTTTGTTTTAGTCAACAAATTCAGTATCAAAGCTCATCCAGCCATTTCAAAATTTGGGTTTGGATCATCTTTTTAAGATACTAAATCTTCAACTTACGTTATGCATGCAATGGGAGGTCCAAAAATTCAGGCATCCAACCGGAAAGCAAAGCAAATCTCACTATGAGCCAGGCCCTGGGAGATGGCAGGACTCAGAAATGAGTCCTCAGTTGCACTTCACCATCTGTGCCTGCCTTTCTTTCTTTCTTCTTCTCCTTTTTTTTTTGGAGTCTTGCTCTGTCACCTAGGTTGGAGTGCAGTGGCGCGATCTTGGCTCACTGGAACCTCTGCCTCCCAGGTTCAAGTGATTCTCCTACCTCAGCCTCCTGAGTATCTGGGATTACAGGTGCACGCCACCATGCCCTACTAATTTTTTGTATTTTTAGTAGAGACGGGGTTTCACCATGTTGGCCAGGCTGATCTTGAACTCCTGGTCTCAAGTGACCTGCTTGCCTCAGCCTCCCAAAGTAATGGGATTACAGGTGTGAGCCACTGCACCCGGCCATCTGTGCCTTTCACCATCACCACCTTGCAGGGCTGGAGTGCAATGGCATGATCTTGGCTCACTGCAACCTCTGCCTCCCGGGTTCAAGTGTTTCTCCTGCCTCAGCCTCCCGAGTACCTGGGATTGCAGGCATGCACCACCACACCTGGCTAATTTTGTATTTTTAGTTGAGATGGGGTTTCTCCATGTTGGTCAGGCTGGTCTTGAACTCCCAACCTCACATCTCCCAAAGTGCTGGGATTACAGGTGTGAGCCACCACACCCGGCCTCCTGTCTTCTTTGGTGGGATTCCCTCAGCCCTTACGCTGCCCCTGCATGAGCCAGAGGAAGCTGTCAGTTTTGGTGTTTAATTGTTCCCTAAGTCCTCATCACGGTTTGTCCTTTTGAGGTGTTTGTGATTTTTAAAGGCAACTGCATTCTCCCCAGTCTCTTGGGCTCCCTGGACATTGCTACAGCACAGCTCCTTAGCCATTCCAGGCACTGTCCTCTGCCCAAACCCATCTCTCCATTACTCTATCACTTAGCGAACTCTTATATTATCCACAAGACCCAGTTCACATGTCACCTCCTT